CACGTAGAGTTTCTGCTACTGAAGAAAATAATCAAATATCAGTACTGGATGCAGTAGCTCATAATCCACATGCGAGTGTTCGAGAAATATCTTAACAATCAGGGATTCCTCGTATGAGTGTTTGGAGGATACTGAAGATACATAAATTTCATCCGTATCATGTATCCTTGCATCAGGAATTAACTGACTTTCAAAACCGACTACAGTTTTGTCAATGGGCAGTTCAGAGAATACAAACGAATCCGAACTTTTTTACTCAAGTACTATTCTCTGATGAATCGACATTTACAAACCACGGTGAAGTTAACCGCCGTAACATGCATTTTTGGGGTGGAGAAAACTCACACTGGATTCGTCAAGTAAATCGTCAGCGACCTTGGTCGGTTAACGTTTGGAATAATTGGCGATAAACTTATCGGATCATACTTTATTGACGGTAAACTAAATGGTGACAAGTACCGAAACCTTCTGGATAAAGAACCACCAAGAATGCTCGAAGACGTAATTTTGGAAGTGCGACAAAACATGTGGTTTCAACATAGATGGTTGCCCAGCACATTACACATTAGTAGCATGCGAGGTATTGGATCGGTAGAGAAGGACCAGTGCACTGGCCAGCCAGATTACCATACCTTACCTCACCAGATTTCTTTTTGTGGGGTTACCTAAAAGATGTCGTTTATAAAGAAATACCTACTACTCGTGAAAACATAATGCTACGAATAAGGGACGCTTGTGCCGCGATTACACCAGATATGCTTACGCGATGTGTTCGTTCATTTGTAGGACGAATCAATAAATGCATTGAGGTTCAGGGCCATCATTTTGAGCTCTTACTTTCAATAAATGCTGAGGTACTTGTAAAATCATCTAAAACCAGCACACCGATAGTGAGAGGCAAAGGGACTCACTGAAAACAAGCACCCCGAAGGGAACAGAAAACTACCACGTCCACGTCGTCGTTCCTGGGTTACGCTAAAAGTAGTTTATTGACTTCCTTAGAAACTACTGATTTTTATTAACCACTCAGAAATAATCGACCACAATCAACCCACTCGATTTGCAGTCAGAAATTTTCGGAAATCATTTTTTTGCGATTACAGCGCCACCTATCACAAATCAGAAAAGTTTCAGACAAAACTTATGTATTTTTGTCCACAGAATCCGAATCTGAAATAAAAAAATGGGTGTTCCAATTGAAGATTTCAATGTTGCCCACCACCACACCCGCTGGGGGCAGGGGGTGCTGATTTTATCATAGAATGATTCCCCCTTCAAAACTTAAGATTTGGTCTCAGCTCAATTTTTCAAACATCGCATATTTTTTTTAGTTATTTCAAGTTGTCACGTTAAATGGGCCTGTATACAGCTTCGGCGTCACCAAGACGGGTCCTCGCAACACAGGCTCGCCACTTATAAGGGTACGAAACAGCGCGACCTGTTATCTCCTGCCCGCGACTCGACCGCCGGACTTGCGGTTCATGGCAAGCGCGGAAGGGTTCGTCGTGACGTCATGCCACCCCTCCATGTCAGGCCGGGCAACTGACCATTCAGCCCTTCTTGAACGAGACGTCGAAGTGCTCGAACGTGTGTCGAGAGCGAGGACGATGTAGAGAGAGAGTAGGCTTTCGTTGAGAGAGTGCGAGTAAGAATATAGTTATTCAGAAGTGAGCTGTAGAGCGAGAAGTTAGAAATCTGAACTGTATTTATTTTAAAGCAGTTGAATATTTCGTGAGAACTGAGTGACTTACTAGAAAAATTAGGGCGAGGAAGAACAGTAACCGCTAGAACGAGGGCGTGAATGACAAGGCGTTTATAGAACTTTGTACTACACACAATCCCAAAGTGTTGAAGAAACGCCGAAATACGCCGTTAGCAATTAGGCGTAAAGACTATGAAACACGCGTCGGCGTGCTGCTAGTCAAGTAGCGGAGAAGGAAGACGACGGTGATTCGTGAGCCGGGTGAGAAGGAAGAGTGGGCGTAGGTTTTGGACGCGGCAGCACGAAAACAGCGGTTTCGAGCGACAGCGCGGACGTCGGGTCTGCAGAGGAGCAACCGTGCGGCCAGGATTTGGATCAAGGTCAGGCGTATGACGATGGAGAACAGAGGTCGGTACAATCCGCTGCTGAGAGCGCGATGGCAAAGATAAACCGAATTTGTAACGGGAACAAAGGGCAGGCGGCGCTACGAGCACGCCAGCGCGGCAGAAGAAAGACTGCATTCTAATGAATTTGCATAATGTGGTAGATTTCGTAACGGCCAATGTTACAAGTGAAAACCGCAAAAAGGGAGCCTTGTAATCCGTGCAGAACGTTTCATTCATGTGTACTACTTCAAGGAAATTCATTGTAAATAGTTGTGTGATCTAATAAGTAATTGTGTTAATTTCTTGCGATGCATTCAGAGCTGAAGAAATTTAATAGAAAATAAGAAATAATTTCAGTTGTTTTGTGGTGATTGAGCAAAGTAAATTGACTAACGTTGCTGGCCAAGCAAGTAATTGCCGCGCACGGGCTTTCCTAGAACGCAGTTAATTTGAAAGAATTTATCATTTAAAGTATTAAAGGAGTGTTTGTAATTTCAAATTGTTTCAAAAGGGTGATGTCATTATTACATGATTTATTTGAAAGTCTTGTTTGTCCATTTGGTTGAGTTTATTTAGTGCCCGATGTCAATTCTTTTACAGTTTGAAGAATATACGCACTGATTTTCCTATTTCTGTGTCATGTGAAAACTTTCTCACAGCCTAAAGATCCTGCCCCCTGAGATCACAAAGCTCGACACGAGCATTCAATCCAGACGAAACACTACCTCCGCCAGAATGTAACGTATTTTGAAGCCTGTCCCCTCCCCTTTCTCAGCGGCTTTAGCTGATTGCTGAGTAACAGCCATTCTACCATTCCCTCCGTGCTTTCCTTCCGATACCGCTATGACATTACCGGTCAATTCAATCTAAATCTCAAATTATTCTTAGAATCCCTCCCCTTAATGCATACATGGCCATAGTTTCTCGCCATGTTAATTTAATCTTAATTTATTTGAAAGAGATCTGATCTTCTTACAGTTTCCCAGTTTCAATAAAATTCTCCCTAGTCTCTAATGGTATAGAAACAGTAGTGCAGCAAAAAATATTTTACTTGGGACTTAAACTTTTGTTTCGAATTTAATCGATTAATGTTATCTGGCAAGTTGTAAAATAATGTACATGTATTACATATGATTTTTTTGTAGTGAGCTGTTGATACTATCACCTAATGAATATGATTACTACGTCGATTGTTGTGATTATAGACAACGGCGTTTGCTGAAAATTTATTCCCGCCTTTTCATTTTTGACAAAAACCCAGGGCCGGATTTAAGTAGCGCGGGGCCCCAAGCACAAAATTGTGTTGCCCCCCCCCCCCGAAAAATAGCTCCATCTTTATTAAATAAAAGATGTATAATAGTACAATTACTTTCTGTACAGATACAAATGAAAACTGATAATTTTGTATAGAAATTTTTACTTGTGTTACATTTTTTACATTAAATACATTTTACATATTTTTTTTCTGCTCTTCACTGCAGAATGGGGGCCCCCTAAATGGGGGCCTCCAAGCAACTGCTTGTTTTGCTTGTAGGTAAATCCGGCCCTGCAAAAAACCACTGATTCATATATCAAGAGGTAATGATAAATAAATTCATAGGTTAATAACGTGGCTTACAATCGCGTGTGTGGAATTTGCTTATTATTTGTACAACTACTTTTTGTACTCTAAAAGTTTGGGAGCTATAAGATGTATTCCCCCCAGAATATTATGCCATATCTCAGGCAAAACTTTCGCGAAATATACACAACGAGCAGTATTGAGGCTGACTGAATTTGAAAGAATTCTGAAAGCGAAGCATAAATAACTTGTAATGTTCAATTTATTTATATGGTCGTTCCATTTAAAGTTTTACTGAATTGAAAGACCTAACAATTTTGTTACCTTAACATCAGTCAATAGCACTTTGTTCATTTTCAATGGAGAACAGAACTGTTTATTTGAAATGGAAAACTGCATTAACACCGTTATCGTTTCATTTACGATTAATTTGTTATTACGAAACCAATTTGAAATATCTGATATTGTACTATTTGTGGTTTCTTTATTGCAAAGAATATTCGTATCATCTGCAAAGAGTACTGTTCTTCCGTCTCTAATCGTCGTGGAAATATCGTTTACGTATAGTAGAAAGAGAATAGGGCTGAAAATCGAACCCTGCGGGACTCAGAAGGCAGTTATTGGGAATGCTCTGCATGCAATTGGCAAAGAAACGGAAAGGTGTGTACTTAATATTCCAGTAAGGTATTTCTTTCTACTCTCTGAGATAATTGTTTAAGGTGACGAACATAACCAATCTAGAGCAATACTATGAATTCCATACGAAGGTAATTTTGAAAGTAAAATATTAATGACGTAAAAAGCTTTTGAGAGATCTAAAAATATTCCAATAGGTGTTTCGTTTTGATCCATAGATGAGGCACCATCTTCATGAAAAGAAAAAAAATGTTTGCGTTGGTTTTGATTTTCGAAGGCCATGTAGGCAATTTGAAAATGTTTCGGCGAATGTTCGCTCCCTATGATGACCGACACGCGATGGGTAGGGCGAATACCGAATGTTCGACGCTCGACGAATCTCAAAGAACCTGCCCACGCTGAATACCGAATGTGTGGAGCCGTGTCTTCGTGTCACTGTTTTTCGCGTCTTTCCCGGTCGAGCCGCTGTGTCCAATGATCGCAACCGTACAGCAGTATTGTATATGGTCGCGATCATGCACGACCGAGAAAGACCGAAATACAGTGATATAATGCCACCGTGAAATTTATAATAATGTTATAACTACATTAATAAAGGCAAAGTACAAAAAACCTGAAAAATACAATAATATTAATTTAAAAATAGAAGGTATTAATAGGGAGTTTGTGCCACCTCGAACGTTAAAGCACTATCGATCTACTCATGCACAGTGCAAATTTCGCACTATTTTAGTACTTCTGAACAACACCAGAGAGTATTTTACAACACCTAGATACTGTATATCTAGTTGTTGATCTGGGCAAGCACAGAAGATCGATTTTGCTGCTGCCTTTTGGAATCGATTCCATCAAGAATCGGAATCCAAGAAATCGAAAGAAAATTAAAATTATCGAATCGGAATGTCAAAGTGCAGCACTGTACAATAAGCAGACATGGTAGTATAGGTTATTGGTCTCATTTTGGAGGCAAATTTGATGCGATGTTTTGACTTCGTTTTGTTGTCCGCGTGAGTATACATTAGAAGGCATGACGGGCTTTGCGACTAGGAAGGTTGTTCGGAAAGTCAGAAAGCTGACGAGCATGTTACACAGAGAAAGTGGGATTGAGTGCTGTGAAGAACCCACGAAGGTTATTTATGCTTTTTTCAATACTATATTTAATTGATTAATATACTTCTAGAAGAAATGTAATATAGCATTATCATTTCAGTACCTGTTTATTGGAAATGCTGGACTGACTACTGGCTTGCAACGAGAGTGTCTCGTGTCTCACTTCACCAAATATGGCATTGTTGATGATGTAGTCATGATTCCTGGTAAATCATATTGTTTTATAGTGTTTCGTGATGCTAATGCTTGTGCAGTTGCTTTTAATAACCTTCAAGCCAAGCAGATTGTTCCTGATTATCCAGAAGTACTGTATTTGGCTTTTGCAAGATCAGGTAGTGACCAAACTCACCAAATAAATATTTGTAAATAATCTTTCATACTTCTGTATGCCTTTATCTGAAATTTTACAATTCATAGTTCCCACAGTTGAAAACAAAGATTGGCACAATGGGCCACCAGGCTCTGTTGTGCTTGAAAACTTTGTAAATGAGACAGAAGAAGAAATCTTACTACACTGCATTGATTGGGGTACATCAGATTCTGGTATGCGACATTTTTTGGATGTTTGCTATTCCAGCTGTAAATATTGTAATGATAACTGTATTGTTCAGGTCAGCATTTGAAGCATAGAAGAGTAATACATTATGGTTATGAATTCCAATATCATAATAATAATATTAATAAAGATGAACCCCTAAAAGATAAAATACCAGAAGAATGCAGTGTTCTGTTTGATCGACTGAAGCAAATGGGTTATATAACTAGTTGTCCAGACCAGTTGACCATCAATCAGTACTTACCTGGTCAGGGTAAGTCATAATGAATATATTAATAGAAAACTTTAAAACTGTAGTTATGGTTTGTATTGCAGAAAGAAAAGGTTTTATGTAACTATATAAATTGGTGGGTGCACTTGTAAAACGGGACAATAATAAATTTATTCAAACTGCAATTAGGTATAATCCAGCTAATTACATGAATCAATAGATAATATATCTAACATGCAAATTATACAATAATGATAATAACAACAACAACAACAATAATAATAATTTATTTCCAAAAGAATTCCATTGACAGTGTACAAAAAACATCACCATAAAAACAATAAGAGAATACCAATTTTGTTAGACTACATGACATACATTTCTTTTTCATATTACTGTTGTTGATTATGTTCATCCATCATCAGTACTGTTTACCAGTTACTGTAATTCAGCAGTTTTGGAATGGCTGTGTTAAGCATCCTCTCTCCAAATTTATTAAGTCTCTGGAAGTATGAAATTGTCCTTTTTTTTTCTAGTTTCATAGATGTGCCCACAGATTTTTCTGTATTTTTCATTGAAAAAATTTGTTTGCAGAATTTGAAATTCATACAGTTTTTTAAGTCGTGATTCCATGTACTCACTTCCAGGGTTAGGTTTGTTATGCTCATTTTTTCATTAAGGCTTTTAATACATTTATTTTGTAGGTTCTGTATGATATCTACATGCGATTTTGCTGCAGCCCCCCACACTCCAATTCCATACCTGATCAGAGACTCTATTAATGAATGAGAAATATACCAATTTGAAAATTTTATAAGATACAAAATCTTTAATTCTCATTAGTTTCCAAACACATGTTCTTATTTTCTTGCTTAATTCCAAGATCTGGTCCCTCCAGCTCAGATTTTGAAAAGTTACACCTAAATACTTCAATTTGCTTAATATAATTAATTATATTATTACATTGACAGTTCTTAAGGTCTTTGTGTATGCAGTCAGCTTTGTAAAAGAATATTTTAACTTGTGCTCTTGCAATGTTTGGAGCTGTGATATGCAGTATTCTAGTCTTTTTCTAATTTATTATTAAACCTTTATCATGGCACCATTTTTGGAATATTCCAAATTTGTCCTGTAACTCCATTTCTGCCTTCCTTTGGTTTCTGTTTATAGATAATAGCATCTTGTAAATATAATAGGAACCATTTTCTAGATAATTTTTTTAAGTCATTCACAAATATTAGATAAAGTATAGGGCCTAGGAATTCCTTGTGGAATTTCCCTTTTCACAGTGCTTATTTCACTATAAGTGTTATCTATTTTCACCCTAAATGATCTTCCTTCTTGATAGTTTTTAAATAACAGTAAACCTTTGCCTCTAACCCCTATGCTTTCCAGTGCATGTAATATCTTTTCATGGCTTATTACAGCGTAAGCTTTTGACAAGTCAATGCTCAATACTATCACATGCAATCCCTTGTGTAATTTTTCATTTAATACTTCTCCTAGATTTTCCAATAAGTCTATGGTGCTTTTGTTTTTTTGATATGCAAATTGATTGTTATCTATTATTTTATATTTTTCAATGTAGTTGGTCAGTCTTTGCGATATGTATTTTTCGAATATTTTACTTATTGTATTTAATATGGAAATTGGCCTATAGTTTTCATAGATTGAAATACTCTTTTTATCCTCTCCTTTCTGTATTGGTCTGATAATGGATACTCCTAATTCATCTGGAAAAGTTCCCTCATTAATGCTTGAGTTGATAATTTTCATTATAATTGGTGTTATTGAGTTGCTGTTTAGTTTTATATCTCTTCTTTTGTCAATTCCCGGAGCATTAGTACAGTTTATCCCTTTATAATTAAAAAACTAGTTTTCTCTAATGTGATTTCAGGCAAGTAAAAAGAATTACTTTGTGTTATTACGTTTCTTTTGGCAGGACTGCTAGGCTACATTTATGTACAATGTCTTCCGTCTGTTGTTGAAAAGTGATAGCAAATCTTGCTATTATATATTCAATTGAGTTTCTTTTCCCTAAATTTTTTATTATGACTTCATCTAAAGATTTTTTCTCTGGTACACCAAGTAGTTTATTTATTGCTTTCCAAGTGTTTTTAATGTTGTTTCTGCTATTTTCAAATGGTTTGTTAAAATATTCTTTCTTTAGCTGCTGGATTTTTTTTTGTAATTTCATTTCTGATTTTTTTATAATTTATTCTTTGTGTGTCTTTTAATTCTTTATTTTTGACTGGAGTCCTTTTCCATCTTTTAAACAAGTAATCTCTTTGTTTTATCAGTCCATTGATATCTCGAGTTTAGCCAGGGTTTCAATATTCTGCTATTATTAGATTCTTTCTCTAACGCTTTGTCATATAAATGTTTTATTACTTTGTGCAATTCATTAGCAATTAAGTTTTGAAGACTAAATTCATTTAAGTTCATTAGTTCTTTTTGTAGTTTACTTTTGTTTGTAAACATATTTTTTTGTCACATTTTCAAGAACTGTCTTTTTATTTGTGAAATTACATGAGATTCCAATTAAATAATGATAAAAAACTTGACTTATCCTCATTTACATGCCCCCTGCCAAATACCAAATTAACCTTGATGATAAGCATTGCTTTCATTAACAACTTCAGCCTTGCTGTTTTCTTATTTTTTCAATTCCTCTCTCTCTCTGTTTGTCTGTCTGTCTCTCTCTCTCTTTTTTTAAAAAAAAAAACCTTAACATCAGCAAAAAACGCTGTGACCATCACAAAAAGTTTCATTACATTTCAATGTCGTCATAAATTTCATTAATTACATTCAGCAACTAATTTAATGTGTAAGTAGAGCACTGTGCGCTAAATTTAACTTGTAGGAATGTTCAATGAAGTGGCTGTTCATTGCACTTCAACGTCTAAGTGTATAAAATGGATGTGTAGAAAACATAAATGGCACAGATTTTTCTCATATAGTAAATTACTTTCTTTAACACTGTGTAGTCTAAATATAAAGTTTTGTGGATCCTTGGTAAAAAAAAAAAAATTCAAAAACGGCAAAATAGATGTCTATGTGTCAGTCTGTGATCAACATTAGCACCTGAACCACTCGGATCATTTTCTCTAAAATTGCTATTCTACAATTGATCTGGCCCAACTAGAGGCTCGGCAAATTTGAAACAGATATTTTGATTTTGGGAGTGTACTTATTATATGAAGACTCAAAAATTGTCTTGAACAGTGGTTTCAAATTTTTGGATTAATTGTTTTGGGGAAATAAAGCTAAGTATGCTATTAAACATGGCATTGGTCCCTTCTCTTTGAACTCTTTGAGTTTTTGAAAATGACAAAAGTTCATTTCTACAATATTCACTTTTACTTAGTGAATAAAAATGTATAATTTGTGTGTGGCCCATGTGTAATTTATGTTTAACTCTGAATTGTGGATAATTGCAAAAGGTATTGGATTAAAAGACCTTAAGTACATGGCCTAATACTAAATAATAACTTTTAACTGTTAGATAATTCAAGGGTGGATCCGGAGACAAATTTTTGGAGAGGAAATTCAAACTGTTTTTTTTTTTAATGTGTTGTATTACAGATTTAGTAAAATGTTGCAGGCTACCCTCAGCTTATGCAATACGATTTTATTCGTTGTAATGATTATCCAAACATTTTTTGCTTGAAAGTTTCATGAAAAGTAAAAAATAATAGTTACTGAAAAATTGTAGGGGGCAGGGGAATTTCCCTCATTTCCTTTCCCATGGATCCGTTTCTGGATAATATAATTCCTGATAAAATATTTGCGGTAGTTTATGGTATATCCTTAACTGCAAACTTCTAAATGAAACTGTGTTGATTGGCAGGTATTCCTCCTCACATTGACACTCACAGTGCTTGTGAAGGCACCATATTATCATTATCCCTGGGATCATCAGTCATTATGGAGTTCAAACACAGAGACGGACGATCCATGTCGCTGTTACTTCCTCAACGTTCAATGTTGATAATGTCAGGAGAAGCAAGGTGCCTACTTTTTTTACTGTATGAAAAAAAGATGTCTTATTATGTAGATAACCAGAAAATGCAGGGAAGATGAAATTTGATATTATGAAGAAGAAAAAATGTATTGCATATTTAGTGTCTTTTGAAGTTCAGCATATTTTATTGTTACTGTTTTAAAGTATTTACACATCACTGACATTTTTAATGTAATTTTAGTATGGTTAAGTAATTAAATCCAAGTGCCCTTTCAAGGTGTGTTTCAGGTGTCAGTTGGTATTCACACATTTGAAAATTATTGATCATGTATCAATTAATAAATAAAAATCAATTTGGACTGTTATAATTTATATTAAAAACCAGAAACCCTCGTTAACATGAATTTTAAGGGACTGAAATAATTGTGGTTCAAAGCTACAATGTTGGCATGTGATAAAGAATAATATAACGGGTTTCGTTAAATCATTAGAAAAAGAGAGAAACTAATTTTAAAAAATTTAATTTAATAAGCAAATTAAAAGAAAGAAACTAGTAAAGAATGTACTGGATTTCTGATAAGAACAAATTACACAAAAGATCTTCTACACCAGCTGCAGACATCTGTTCATTGTCCATTTCACATCAATTAATTCATACTTCTTGGTTGCACTAGATGCACAGAGGATAATGCCCTTCCACTTTATAGACCCCCTCAAAGTGTGTGGCCTTGGTCTTTTACGGTGGGAGGCAGGCCAATGGTTGGTGTGGTAAGATCAGTATCGTGCCAAGGTAGAGTGTTGCGCCTTTTGCCAATGGGAGTTCATTGACGTTCATTTTGGATGCTCCCCCAAATGTGGTTGTTGACGAAATTCAGTTTATTTCTAGGAAGCGACATTTCACGCTTTGCCCATGAAGCTACCAGGTGGCTGACTCCTTTAATTACTTGTCACTTTCATTTACATTAGAGTCTACCCACCTAATCCTGATCAGGGTGTACTTACCTATCATCACTATCTATCTAGTAGGCAGCGGTCCAGGCGCTAGAAATAGCAGTAGAGCTCATGGTGGCTCGTGGTTCGATGTTATTCAAAGTCTTTGGGGAGTGATATCCAGAAAAGGTGTCCGTGTGCCGAAGAAGCCAAAGTCAAGTGTGCTCCATGTAAATTTCCTTGCAGCCGAATTGTACACTTTGAAAGGGCGAGTGTGGTGTATCCTTCCCAAGGCCCAAATTGTGTTTGTGTTTGCGCTAATGAGGTTTTATTGTAGTTGCTGAAATTTTTGTTGAATCTGGAGGTTGTTCAGGATTAATCTTTTTGTTGACTCTCTCTACATTGTTCTATAGGTATGCATGGAGTCATGGCATTACTCCTCGGAAAACTGATATTATGCCTTGTCCTGGAGGAGGATTAAGTGTGCAGAATCGTGGAGTTCGGACATCTTTCACTTTTCGTTGGACACGGAAAGACAAATGTATATGCAGTTATCACTTAGAATGTGATTCATACAATGAAAAAGAAAGTTCAGAACAAAATGATGCAGATGCTACAGAGCTAGAAAAACTCCATGTCCATAAGGTGATTTTACCATTACATTTCGAAATGCATTGTAATCAGGGTCGGATTTACTTTCAAGCAAAATAAGCACTTCGTTAGGAGGTTTTATGAGGGGGTCCCACATCCTGACAAAAGTTTCGACAAAAGTGTCATAAAATGTGTTTATAACGGTGAGAAAGTAGATCTGCATTTCTATACAAGTTTTTAAAAAAAATAAAAAAAAAATAAAAAAAAAAAAAGTATGTTCACTTCTATAAGCAATTTATTTTCATTTGTGTACTTATTCCATTTGTGATTTTTTAGTAAATCTATAGGACTTCTTTTCGGAGAGGGGGTGGTCCCCAACAGTCCCTAAATCCACTCCTGATTTTAATTTTCATAACATTCATGAAGGTTTGTTTTTTTTTCTAAAAAGTGTGTGAAAATAATGTCAACACAGGTTTATGAAGATATTGCTGAACATTTCAGCGAAACTCGACACAAACCTTGGCCAAATGTTCTCGATTTTGTTCAGTCTTTCCCGAAAGGAAGTGTATTAGTGGATGTTGGTTGTGGAAATGGCAAATATTTGGGACAAAACAAAGATATTTATGAGGTGAGAACGATCTAATATATCTCTGTGTGATAGGTATACATCATAATCTTTCAATAAAAATCATTCAATTTTTCAGATTGGGTGCGATAGTAGTTGGAATTTATCATCTCTATGTAAGGACAGAGGATTTCAAGTATTTACTTGTAATTGTTTAGCTCTTCCCTTAAGAGATGATTCAGCAGATGCTTGTATCAGTATTGCCGTTATCCACCACCTTGCTAATGAGGTAATCTTCAATTATTTTCACTCGGAATAGTTTTTCTGATAATATGTGGAGGTACTTCTAATGATTTAGTTTGTGAAGTTTTAATAGGGATTAACAGTAACTCGAAAAAATAAACTGTGAGAGTTCAATGTGATATGACTTGCTGAATGCTGAGTTGACCTGTAGGTTATCCACGAAGGAAATCTTAATGCATTTTAAGTATTATAAATGTAAGAAAAAAAATAAGATCTGATATTTTATTACATAATTGTATTAATTGAGCCCAGACTATAAAATTGTTTGAATTTTTTAAGAGTATCAATAGACTCTTAAATGAAAGAAGACATCTTTAATGAAAAACAAGAAAAGAAAAAAAAACTAAAATAATTCATAATTCACTCTGATGGTTACAGATAAGAAGCGAATGAATAAAACATACATTTTTTATATTGATATAAATTTCTGTAAGAAATAGTTATTAATTAAAATGATTTATTTTTCACCAGAATTGAATCTGGATCATGTAAGGTCTGGATTTTTTATGTTCAAATTATTGACTTTGTACTTTTGTATTGTATATTAAATTCATGCATTTCTTATGATTCTTTCTAATATTTAAATTTATGCTACTTTATTTTTAAGAATCGAAGATTGAAGGCTGTGCAAGAAATTGTAAGAGTTTTAAGGCAAGAAGGAATGGCTCTGATTTATGTGTGGGCAAAGAACCAAGAGTACAATAATAAGAAATCGTCCTATTTGAAACAAAATTGGCATAATAGAAAATCAAAATGTAATAAAACTAATGCTCATGAGCCACCTGTGGTAAATGCAGAAGAAGAGAAGTCTCAAACAGAAAAATATTCTAAATTCAGTGAATCATCTTCATTCTCCCTTCCATTACACACAAACAGGACCCAATTTCTTCATAAAGATGTTTTAGTTCCATGGAAACTCAAACCACAATCTCAGAAATTACAAACTTCAGAGGTTCGTACATTTTATCGTTACTATCATGTGTTTGAAAAGCAGGAATTGGAAGACTTGTGTCTCCGTGAGAAAAATGTAGAACTTGTGAAATCATTTTATGATCAGGGCAACTGGTGTGTTATAATTAAAAAGAAGTAATTTTATGAGAATCTTTATTAATAATTCGATATTTTAGCATTAAAATTATTTACTGTGTTAAAAGTGAAGATTTTATTAAAATGACTGTTGAAAAAAATTAATTAAGTTCTCCAATGAATATTTGTCCAGAACCTCCAATAACAAGGGGACTTTTCCTTTAACATTAATCCCCTTAAATTTGTGCATGTCTATAAATAAATCCGTTATCATTCCTGAAAATAAACAAAGACAGAACTTTTATGAAAAATACAAGTGTCTTATGACATAAGAGGTTAAGCTCTTTGAAATTCTTATGCAATAATAAGTCCCTTTTTCTTCAGTTTTGTACATATGTAAGTTAGTGTAAAACAAAATCAGTGTGTGTTAAGTTAACGCCTTGCATCTTGAGCATACCAGTGATTGCAGGACACACATTTAAGCCTGCCAGGTGTCGGCAATTTTCCTATTGTGTTCATCTTTGGATTTTTAGGCCGACAGCCAAAAGATCAGTTACTTCCCTGATCGCTTCCAATGCCTTACAGCACCTGTCAAATAGGCTCTGATCCATTCCCCAGCCTTATGGTGAAGCGATGGGCTGATCAAGTATCCTTATACCCCTTACAGTCCCCAAGTACAGCCAATGAATGTCTGAAAACTCAACCTCTAATGACAGAAATACTTCCATTCTTAATATTTGGAATTTGCTTACCATACAATCTGTCCAGATGAGCAGGTTGTTTTTTGAACTGTGCCTGAATTTTGGTCTCATTGTTCAAAAGTTCACGGTACTCTGGTAAGAGGCATTTCATTGCTTCTGCATCATGAGTTTCAAGGTCTCGAAGAGCATCCAACATTGCAACTTGATTGGTAAGCTTTAGCTGCGACTCAAGTTTAGGATGCAATATTCGCAATGTGTGAAATATACAGTCGTCATTTACAACTGCATGTGTCAAAAAGTAAGGACTCCGTTTAATATGTTACTTAACACTAAACCAAAAATACCACAAGATATGTATATGTCCTCAAACTTACCACAAGATATGTCTAACTGAATTTTTTTTTTTGTAGCCTCTTTTGTAAGAAAATCTTTCAAAATGGAGATTGTAGATATGTTATCAGATTTAAATTCTGCTTCACCTTTGCTGAAATGATTAATGAAATTGTTAGATACATGTTTTGTTTTTTTGCAAATTAATAAAAAAATATTAAATTACAAACATCCAAAATGAACTTCACTGTATACCATAGAGATTTTAGTCTTTGCATTGAAGAAGACTTAAATGTCAAGTGAAGTTTTGCTGTTCAAACATTGAGGGAAACAAAAGATAAGAATGATTTAAACACAAATTCAATTGTGAATTACATTAACTTAAAAGTTGCAAATGTGGATCTGACTGATGAGGTTATGAATTGAAGGAAAGTTTGCAAGTTCAACCCAGTTTATCGATTTTGCCAAGAGATTCTACCTCTGATCTTGAATCACTGTATACTGAAAATGAAGATCACATTCATTGTTCAAAAAATATTATCATCTACAATATTGCAGAGAAGTGTGATCTATCTTAACAAAAACTTGATGCTGATAAATGTAATGTCGCTTCTGTGCCAAACATGACTCGAAATTTGACACATCGATGATCTTGAGTCTGGGTGTTGTCCCAAGTTCCCACACAAATTAAACCACAGAACCCTTTTGATTTATTTAGTCCAAAAAACAAAACAAAAAAGCTATGTGGCATATGGGAGAGAAGATTATCTGTACATGTTTTCTTGGGCTCCAGAATCCCTTCCAAACGTTTAAACTATAAATAGTTGAAAGATGAATAAAAGTTGATCAAACAAAACAAACAAAATAAAAAGCATGAGATTAGCAATGTTTGACACACTAGAAATTTTCGTTCCCAAGTTATAGAAAATTTATTTGCACTGGTACACAAACTGCAATTTGATTTTTCTGCGTTGCTAATAAAGTAGCAACTTGCCCTCAGTTTTACTCCTACCTACCTCCAAAACATGTGCATAGTGAAGCTACATTAATGTCCAGAGGCAAAACAAGGGGCCATTTAAGCATTTGCTCAATGCATCAGGGAAACTGGACAACAAATCTGATTGATATGGAGGTCATTGGCCTGGAAGCTGAAGTACATTATATGTTACAGGCATATTAAGTCTTTTTTTTTAAATTATACAATATGAATGTAAACAAATGCATTGATTGACGATCAGCATAGTCTCCAATTGTATAGAAACAGTTATGCAGCGGAAAAGATTTTACTTTTAACGTAAATTTTTGTACAGATTTTAATTGTTTAAGTCATCTAGCAATGCACTGCATGTACTTATAGGGATTTCTTGTTGGCAGTTGATACTGTCACTTGATGAACTTGATTTCTATGACATGTGTTGTAATTATAAATATCAGTATTCCATGAAAATATGTTCCCACTGTTAAGTAAGTTTGTTGAGAAAACTTACAGATTCGTAAATAAATAGGCAAGGCAATGGTCAGATTCCAAGCTCAATAAAGGGAGGCTTTCAGGGATCACGGGAATTGCATTTTTTCATTATTTGAATAATTTTCTTTTGCAATCTAAAGGTCTGAGTACTACAAGATGAGCTTCCCCAAAATATTAGGTCATATCTCTGGTGGGAATGGACTCTTCCTCCAACCATTGCAGCCACACCTTTTCACCAGGGGAGCCATCTGGCATTTGCCATTTGCCCATGCCTATTTCACAGTTACTAATATATTAGATTAAACAAATTCAATTATATTTCAAATGCAAAGAAATTTTAAAGTTTACTCACTCAAAACAAAATCGTTAATTGATACTTCTACTAGAATTCTTGTGAAAGAGTGAGCATGACACTTATTGCACAATCAGATCTGAACATGAGTGGCAGACTCTGTGAATATCATTTGCACAATTTTCCCCTCCTAACGATAATAACTTTACAAAACCCAGTGAAGTACAGTTATACTCTGCACAAGTAATGAAGGGTTAATAGATGAGGATGTATTGTTTACATATAATAGATGATAGGACCTAAGATCATACCTCTCAGGACCCTATGCTCAATTGGCAAAGAATTGGAAAGATAAATTAATAATGTTATTTCATGCCAGTATAGTATTTCTACTCATTGAGATCAATGTTCAAGGTATGAGGTTATCCAATCTAGGGCAATACCACAAATTCCATATGAAGTTAGTTTTGAGAGCAAGATCTTATTATCAATAATGTCAAAAACTTTCAAAAGATTTAAAAATGTTGCAATGGGTGCTTCCTTTTGGTTCATCACGAGGCAACATCTTTAAGAAATGGAAACAATTTTGTACATATTGATTTTCTAAAGCAGTGTTGCGAGTCTGAAAATGCTTTGTTTTTTCTGAGTAAAGTTTCCATTCACGTATAGAAAAGCCTATTATATTTTTGAGAAAAGTGACAAAAGAGAAATTGGCTGGTAATTTTGAATTTCATTTTTGTTGTCTTTTTTTTAAAAAGTGGCTTAATTTTTGTTGTTTTGAAAATATCTGGAAATATTCCTGTGCATAAAGCATTGAAAATGTGAGTTAACAAGCTTATAAAGGCAGGTGCACAAGTTTTTATTTTCAATAAACAATCTGGAAATTCATCCACACCAGATGAATATTTATTTTTTAGTATATCGGCTATTGACCCTTGAAATCAAGATCCCATCAAAGTGGTTATGTCTAGCCCAGCAGTTTCTATCTTCATCTTGAGAAGCAAAAGTATCATGGAAAACTTTTCTACTAGTAGTAATAAAATCTAATTTATTCTCTGTTAACACGCTTCCAGATTGTTGCTATTCCTATTTACACCTAATAACATCTGCGCAAAAGGGAAGAAAACGGAATTCTGTGTATTTCAAGTTACATGAAGCGAACAAGTGGAAAAAAAAGAAATCAGTAAAGCTTTTGGATGTCGCCGTATGAGATGGCACAACCATACTGGTCCATACCTAGGGACAAAGGATTGACACTTAGAAGAGTGTGGGTGGGCCATAGTACTGGAACTGAAAATTATGCTGTGGTCCATCCAGCGGGACAATGGCATGGAAAGGGTTAATGAAATATGGCAAGCCTTCCTTGAATATATTTCGGTGGTAACCTATTCCATTAAAATACTGATTTGTAGTTATCCCAACAGTAGTAGTTCTTTCTCTATTTAGCTACTTGTAGGCTCTTGTCATTGTCATGCAATTTTTTGGTATACAAAATTAAAAATACCATACACATTTTGAATCTTGCATAGGATAAAAATGCAGAACTTAATCATAACAGATAGTCTTCTCATTCTCTAGTTCAAGTTATTGGACAGCAATCTTAGGTGTTTTTTGACTTTGATCATGACTCTCTCACCGATAGATGCACTGGAGCATTGTATCCAAGAATGTTGAAGTAAATGTAAATTCTGCTTGTTCATTGGATGGTGGTTTGTCTGGTACTTCTGGCAAACAATAAGCAACCCATGTATGCATTTCTCCCATGCTGAACGATCCTTTCAGGTTCAAAACATTACAAGGCCTGTGTACACAACTTACTCTTATCAGTTTGAAAACATGAATTAATTCACTTTAAAAAGAAATATACCAACCTTTGCGAGTCAAAGCTGTGACATCGCATATGCAAAGAAAGGGGTTTAATACTGTATTGACGCACTTGACAACATTTTGGCTGTATTAAAGGTGTTATATAAGCTTGTAGGGTTCCATGCTGTCCTTCAATTGTTCTTATTTTCAACTCTAATCTTGTTGTGTTCATCTGACATCTGTATGTAGCAAGCAAATAGTTCCCACTCTGAAATTAAAATTAGGTTCAAGGCACAGAAAACACTGACAAAAATGTGCCTACAATAACAGAAGGAAAAGTAATAATATATGTTCAAAATTATTAAGCATGTTACTTTTTTGAAAATCAGATTATGTGAATTCACCTATTTCATTTTATATTGTCATAATTTATTTCACAAGATAGATCTTGCATTCCTACACAACACTTACATTAGGTTCACAAGCACTGTAGCTAACAACTGCTGAATTCTTTTCTAAATCTAAAAGATCAACAGGCACATCACTTTGAATCAAAACATTATCAATAGCTGTCTGCACTTCCAAATTTAATAAGTATGAAGCATCTTCTTTACACAACATCATCTGCAAGTAAACAATTGTAAAAAAACAAAAAATTATAAGGAAAAATACAAACACCTTGCAGTAAACATTAATGAAAACAAAGGAACAGGTCTCATCCTTAAAATTTTATAATAATAGTAATAATAGTAATAATAATAATAATAATAATAATAATAATAATAATAATAATAATAAAAAAAAAAAAAAGATAGCATTATTTTAATTTCTCTAAATGAGTGAGAGAACAAGTCATTTACCTTATCATTCACTGAAATAAATGGTATAGCAGACATCCCTTCCGTCTTGTCTAATGTTGCAGCCTGGTATCTGTTGCGTTCCCTGTTTACTCGTTGCTCGATTTCTTCTATTTCAGATCTGAAGTTTCATACAAAGCACGAGTTTGGAAATTCATTTTGTCACTTTGTGCTTAAGTAACACATTTTTTTAAAAAAGAATTTTAATCAAAAATATAATTTTCCTTGAAACAAACTTTACTTAATGTGATAGTGAGGGCCCTCAATGGCTGTAATTAAAAGTTACTAAACCTTAAAGAATTGTGTGGAGTATATAAATATCCCTAAGTACCCCTGTTTTTAATGACTGTGAAACGATATTTATGATTTTAGAGGTATAAGTGACATTTTATTGTGCAAATAGGAAAGATTGCAATACAAGGCCAATAGGCTACAATCATACAAGGAAAATTAAATCACTTTTACATGATTCGTACTCAAATATTTTACACAGCCTTCCTGACTCATTTTATTTTAATTCAAAAATACCAATCTCTTAACTGTATCCTCTGTTTCATAAAATTTCATCACTTCACTTTTAGAATTGGTGCTAAAAATTGAATTTTCACAAACCTGCAAGCCCTAAAATTAACCACTTTTTCTAGTGACTGACTAAAAAATATCTTTAATATAAATATATAAAATATAAATAACAGGGCCTTCAGCAAATCTTCGTTCTCATTGACACTAGTCCACAGTGAATTGTTTATTTTATTATAAGTGTAAGAAAAATATTATAAAAGTTTACATTTCAAAAATAAAAATTGATTAATTTTGATTTAAATATTACTATGAATCAGTAAAAGAAAAATAAATTACAAAAATGACAATAATTTTTACTAATTTCAGAACTCCATTCAAAACCATAACGTACAGAACAATTCTCAGCTTGAGAAAATATACATGCCAAATTGTAAATTGGGATTTTTCATAGTAATGTCAATTGAATATCTCCAAGACAAACTCTAAGATGAAAGGGAATCATTTTGCTGGTTATTGTCATTTTCAAGGGCCAACTTGCTGCCAGTACACAGAGATACTCTCTGCCCACTTCACAGAACACGTCTTTTCTTTTTCTTTGAAACAATATTCGTCTCTAAAGAATATGCTATTGACAAGACAACAATTTTTGGCAATGTGTACGAAATCATGAATACAAAACTTTGTAATTATGCTATTGTTGAATAGGGGAATTACATTCGTCCTGCACCAACAGATTTAAGAATAAAATTATACGTTTGCAGATTATGATACACAAAACAGATTATTTTAACATACAATTGTATGTATCTCAGAAGCAACACATCCTAGATCCTTTATAACATTTTTTTGTGTCCCTGAAGAGACTTGACTTTAATGGGATCAGATAGGGGGAAATTACAAGGGACAATTGGAAAAATAAGGAGGGCCAGTGGTCCTAATGTTCCTTATGTTCCTAAGGGGGAGTGCGAAAGCCCTCTTACCTACTTTAATTTGGCTGAGCAATTGACCTATTTTCTTAGAAATTATTCAACTTAGTACTGTAACATTTTAGTAGCAGCTTCATAGAAATGCTTCACGTAAATGCAAGAAGATTAAAACGTATGAATACTTTTTGAATTTTCTGCATGTATTTGAAGTAAAAGTCAAAATTTCTACATTAATTTTTCTGTTCTTTTATGCAAAAATATGAAATTTACTTCACTCATTTTGTAACATTTATTCATTATTTCCTAAGTGACCAACAAAAAATTAAAAATTATCACGTGAATAGTTTCAGAGATAACAGACAAAAGTGTTCAAAAATATCATTTTCCAGAAATTATAATCTAAGTAATTCCTGTAAAACCAGTCACCTCATCATGTAACAGAATAAGTAAAAAAAAAGTGTGTGCTGCATAAACAGTGAAAGAAGATAAGGCTTTGTAGTGCAAACATTATTAGACTCATAACAATTTGACATTTACAGATTAAGGAAGAAAGTAACCAAAAAAATAGTTACAATTGGTAATGGTATATTTGTTATGATGATTTCTAGGATCATTTAATTAGAAAAACTGTAAATATTAAAAATTTTAAAATCCATATATTTGCATTTTAACTCTCCTTGACCAGTATTCTACAAAATGATTACTTTTTGAATCTTCTGTTATATATTTTGGGGATTTAGGACTTTTGGGTGCCCCATTTCATAACACGGATGGCAAGATATGTGCAGAAATCAATATAAACTTAAACCAAAGGATAAAGACAGCAAAAATGTTTCATGATCAAATTAAAGACTTTCGATTTTTTTTTTGTGATTTAATATCAATGCAACATTAAATATTACTAATTAATATCATAATATGAGTGCTTAGAAATATTAGAATAGATACTCTTGCTTGATACAAGGCATCACTATGCTGTAACACACAGTTCAGGTAGTGACCGAGTTTGGGTCCAACTTTTAACAATTATTAACATTGTATTAAATTTTCACATGGGTCCAACTAATGTCTATTATTTTTCAAATGTATTTGTACAATATCATGATTCACTAACAATCTAAACAACTCAACTGATTGATCAGTTGACAACATACTGTAAAATGTGCTTTTGTGCATCAAAAACTGAGAAGTGTCATTAACAAGATGTGCATTTAACACTTGAAAAAAGTACCTCAAGTGCATTATCTTCATTCTGGCATCTTGAGAAATATTAAGGCTTCCTGTTTGTGAATCCACACCTACTTGCTTATCCATTACTTCTGTTGTCAGGCCAAATAGCCATCCTACACATTGAATAATATGTTTGAGAGAGTACAATGAACTTTTTCTTTCCAAATTTTCACAAATCTTTGAGAAAGTGAAATAGTAAGGGCAATGGCACCCATCTGAGAACAGGTTTCAACGGTTCATCGAAGAAAAATCTTTCATAAAATGTCTTAACTTTTCAAAGTTGACACAAAATTTCCTAGATTTAAAGAAAACTTGTCAAGTTTGTTTGTTTTTTTTTTTTTTACTTATTTTCTATGCACACATAAAAATTAATTGACACTTGAAGCACACTGAAAATAAATTATATCACAGCCTCGTATTCATAGCCTTGAAAGTAAATAAAACAGTATATAAAAATAAGTAAACTATGAACTAAAAAATAAAATTAAAAAAGACACCATTTATTTTCCATCATAAATTACTGACCTCAACTTTAACAATGTTTAATTACATTGTTACATTTACTTATGTTGTTACTTTAACAATGTTTTTTCTGATACTTATTCTTTTTCTTCTCATAAACACATAGTACAAGGAAATTAAATCCAAACTACTGTAATCTAAATAACCAATGTGAAAGTATTAATTTTAATATACCTGTATATGTTGAGGCAACAATTTCATCATAGCCCACATTTCCCACAATCCCACCCTGCACAGATGTAATACTCTCTGTAGCAGCCTGAAAAAGAAAAAAAACAGACACTTTTAAGTTGAAACACCAGACGTGGAATAGGAAACTTTCCCAAACTTAAAATATTAAATAAATCTTTTAACTTTAAATAAAGAATAAAATTACTAAAGAACCACAAAAATAATTTCAAATAAAAGAGTAGTTTCTTCCTTTACTGAAAAGGAAGAAGTTGAAAAGATAAAATTTATTTTATTGTTCATGAAAAATAAAAATTTCCTTGAAGTGGTGCCTCATGTTTGTTAACTGAATTCAGAACAGTTCTTTGAATATGACGTTTTTAATTTTACACCAAATTAAATTATTTGTTCCCATTATCCCTTGTGCAATTATGAAATTATTCTACTCCATTTTGTCACCCTTAAATTAGAACTTCATTATTTTTTGTTCTTTTAACATAGTAGAAATCTTACAGGTAAATGCAGATATTAAAGGGAAATTAAATATGTAGAAAATGAAAATTAAACAAGTAAAATTTACAATCTTGTAAAGATGGAGCAAATTAGGTCTAGTAAAAGCTAAGCAGCTTATGTTAGGCCTGGTTTAAGCTGCACATTTAATACTAAAGTGTAATGTGTACATACTTTTAAAAAATTATTGTTGGAATATATGTAATAATGATAATAGTAATAACGTACCCAATTTACAATTTATGTACATACAAAATAAATTCAAAACATTATTATTTACACTTCCTCTAGTCATTTTTCAAGTGTAATTGGTGAGCAATACAAGTTCTTGTGCATGATCCAATAACTATGTTATACTGAATGAATACTTGCACACAACAAAAGCACATACATAAGAAAACTTCTCTGTCAGATTCCCGTTCTCTTCACTAATTTCATCTCCCAGAGAAAATACTTCCACCATTCCATCTTCACGTCCAACAATAATATCCAAAACACCATCACCCATAATATCATAGCAATCCAAAGAAACAACACCACTGCGTCTCTTATCATCATTCAGTAACCACTTGTGATTGACTTCAGCCCTGGAAGAATAATAAAGATATATTTATTGAACATTTTTTATTTAAGAAAATGCATGTAGCATTTTTTAAGGTGTAATGTGTTTGGCCACTGAGCAATTAATAATAGAAGAAAAATTTCCAAATTGAATTTGAAATAGCTTGTTATATTTTGGATAGGCAAGGAGGAAATTATCAAAATTGATTATTTGCAAAAACATGTGTTACAAAAGCTATTTTAGTTTTTATACTTGTATAATTAAAACAAATCAACGAAAATGTGTAGCTTTTGAAATCAAGCTTATTTTCACTATAGGTTTGTAATTACTTACTCTAATTATGAATATCTTACATTTTAAATATTAAAATTGTGCAGAAGAGGAATGAGAACAAATTAAGCTTTAAGATGAATTCTAAATACACACTATACTTGTCTGTCTAAATGCAATAGATTCACCTTCCAACTTGAACTACTCCTATTCTCCCATCAGCTGTTCCATACAATATTTCATTGCCATTTTCCCCTCCATCATTTCCATTTAAGTGGAGAACTGTAGGCACAGCATCAATCTCCACTGTGTGAAGAACTTGGGAATAATCAAGTACCCTAAGTATTCGGTCTTCACAAGCAAGAACTGGTGTTAATTTATTGGTCTAGAAATGAACAAATAAAAGTATGAATAAGTATAATATAGCAACACTACTCACGGCACATAAACATGCACATAAATTGAATTTTGCTGGTTTTCAACTTATATCACAATTATAATTAGATGATTGTGATAAAAGATTGGATATAATAAATTTTTATTGCTAGGTTTCTTGAATATATATTGCTTAATTATTTTTCAATATATTGTTATTACTTTTAAAATATATTGTTTTTGTAGCAGGCCTACTTGTGATAAGTTTCCTGAAGACTGCCCTTGCATTAATTAATACTTTACATTAGTAGTTTTTAGGCATGTGCCTTATTTTTTCTACAGCTACACAGGTAATCATGTTCTACATGTATACTTAAATGATTTTTCTGTTATGCAGCTTAAAGACCATACAACATTAAATTTTATTTAGTTAACATAAGAACATGACAAATATTGAAAGGCACAATTAATGTGTTTTCTTGAACTTATTACCATTATAACATTTTGAAAACATACCTTTTCAGCAACCAGGGCAATAACATCATTTATACGATCACTACAGAGAAAAGAATTTGCATCTTTGCAATCATGATACTGGTTGTAGGCATAATTTCCACAGACTAGTAAATTACTGCCACTTACATGCCTGTATAGAAAGATTCTGATTACTGTTTTTTGTTTCAACTTTAAAATTAAATAGATATCTAATATCATGAAATATTACTGCATTCAATATGAATTTAAAATATATTATATATTTTCACATGACACATTTCAAATTTTCATTACCTGCAGAATTAATTTAATGATTGAAAGATCTCACATTTATAAGTAAAATATCTCTCAATACAAATCTTCACATGTACATTATAAGATAAAACCACATATTTGATTTTAAGACAAACTAGAAAATAAACTATTACCAGAATATTTGGTCTGTTAAAAAATAATAGAATGAACTGATCAGGACTCAATGAGATAGGCTAAACTATTCAAGGGAAACGTAAAAAAACAAAATGTATAGAGGGCTGACAAGGTACTCAGAATTATCACAGGATATAAAGCAATTTGGGTCAGATTTTTAAAGTGAACAGAAAAATGAGATAACTGGCTAGAAGTAGGCTACATTTGAAAATAAAAGAATAATAATTTGTAAGTAATAATAAAACAATAAAAAATTGCTACAAATGTACATTATCTTAAATGGTTCTAGAAGAGATTTATCACAGATAATACATTTCTTAAAGTACAGTTTCTTACAGTTTCTAAATTATGCAATTGAGCCATTTTTGAAACCAAGGACATCACAAGACTTACATTGACTTTATTGGTTCTGTAAGATTGGTATCAAACCCCAAAAATAATTTTCCTTTCTTTGTAAATCCTCTTACTTCATTTTCAGCTGATATAAAAATTTTATCTTTTACTGTACCTACAAAAAGAATAATTTTGTTTAGCATGCCCACAGAGTTAAAAGTAGAATTCATGTTCTTTTTAAACAGTAAACAATTGCAATTGTTATACAAAACTATAATCATACTAATTTAACTAACCAAACGCTCCACCCAATTCTAGTCGTGATATCGATGGACCTCCAGATGTTCTGAATGTTAATTGTATTTCCCCCTTTCTAGACGAAAATACCTGGAGTACACCATCCTGATCGCCAACGGCTACCTGAAAACGAAGACGTAACATACGTAGAGCACTGTTGGCTTTTTTGTTTTGTACTATGCATATTGTTATTTCAAAAATTTACTTTTTGGGGCAATCTTGCGCCCTGTGCAGGTAAAAGCTTCATCGAATTTGGGGATGTCAAACCAACCAACGTATAATCAACTCGCGATAATTCAAGATCCATGGCAACGACCTCTTCTTTAAAAGGATCTATAAATTTGCACAGTCACGTTCTTCAGTTTATACCTTACGTTGCATCTAATTTATGCCCGGTTATGTCCTTTACAGTCCTTTATTGAAATGTACTAGAAGATATCGTTTTCAAAGCAAGTGGAATGCGACGCAGATTATTGAAAACTTCAGTGCACAAGCAGTGATACCAATGATACCAAGGATGTGTGTGTTCACATTCTTTTATCATTAAATTCATGATTTTGTATAAAACTACATTTATTATTATTGTTAATATGTAGTGAGTGCACGATCGCCAATATACGTACGTGCTTAAAATTCATGAAGAATTAATTATGTATTTGTTGCGACTCAAGGTTGGCCTTCTGTTGTATACAGATTTCGCGGGATTATTTGACGAGGCTGACTTATCGATCAAATAGAATCAGAGCATAGAAGTGAAGGCAAATCATCTGGCGAAAGACTGTATTTTGCCTCGTTAACGTGTCGCGTTGGAGGTTCCCGTTAGGTTTAGCATCAAGTAGCATGTACTGTATACTGCGAATAATACTTTGCAGCTCTCGATTGACAGAGGAAAGGTGGTGCTGTTATTTAATCGGAAGCTTCAATTTGTGATGATTTCACTACAGAGTTCCCGACGTTCACTGAAATATATATATATATATATATATATATATATATATATATATATATATATATATATATATATATATATATATATATAGCGCGAAGCAATTAAAAATTGAAGAGCGCCGAGCGCCATTACTTTTTTGGTTATGTGTCGTGAGTGAGTTTGTGTAAAAGCCTCATATATTTGTGATACAATGTGATGTACATCCACCCCTAAAGGACACTTCTAATATTTATCTTTATGCTAATGCATTCGATGGGACGTATCCTTTAAAACGTACACAAATTACAGGTAAAGTCAGTGACTTCAAAAAGTCCTGCAACTGTTCGTTATTCCTTGCGTGTCACTGTACTTACTTTTCATCTGCTTTGCGCGGGTTATGCAAACACTGTTCGTTATTCCTTGTTATCGACGGGATTAGTTCAAGAGAGTGCGATAAATTTGTGTAACAGTACCACATGAAATAAGCTAGTGTCATTATTACAACTCTATAAATACAATATTGGACGTGTATGTCTCAACTGCTGACCTGACGCAACAAAGACCTCGTGCTTGCCGCCCGAGTAAGTGGGAACATCGCTCTCCCACACTCTCAGCTGTCAATTCGACAGAAGTATTATTCACAGAATAGTTGTTTCCCCGATGCAAGTAATTTTCTTGTACGTGTTATTTCATTGCTATATTTTGAATTATAAAAACCTTAGTTTTAAAGTCTTTACTAAAACCCTACTCATATTCTGTCAGTAGGTTATTTTCCCCTCTTATGGGTCAAAGTATTAATCATGGTTTACTGTATCCATGGTTATTACAGACTACATTCATTCTCCTATAATGTGAGTATTTCATATTCTTTTATTTTAAAAATATTTTATATTTTGTTAGTCATTATTTTTCTGTGTACAGTAGAACTTTGATTTACTATGTCACAGGTCCAGTGCCTTGATGGATTATTGAAACTGAGAAAGGGGAATTTTTTAATAGAAAATAATTTTTTTCAATTTTTATGTAATTGTACATCAAAACATGCATGTCTTAAAAATTTACATACTCTAATACAATTCATTAAAAAACAAATTATTATTGTTATTATTTGAAAAAAAAGGTTATAATTATTATATTTAAAAGCAGTCAAGACACTCAAAACTCAAGACACCCAAGACAAGACAAGACACCCATACCTCATTGCTCTATCCTCATCTTCCATTCCCTCTCACACCTAAATTATGAGCATCATTACTTTTCTGTTTTGTACCCTAATGAAATTGTTATTAAAGTATACAAAAAGTATTAGTGACGTCCAAAAAAATATATTGTAGCTATCTTTGTACCATCATCAGGATATTCATACAATATATTGGCATTTAAACAAAATTGAGTTAAGATACCCGCGACTCCTTGTATTTTTCCTTAATACTGCAGTATTGTGCTTCAAAAATTACTGTTGTTATTAGCTTATAGTGTATTGTGCTTCTCTGGTGTAAAATTATTGCTAATTTTGTAAAGTCTACTGTAAATAAACGAGCTTTTCTGTGTGACGTTCCTCAAATAAATTTCACTTTTTCGCATACTTTCTTCTTCGTCCTTTTCTTCGCTCTTTTCTCTTCCCTCTCCCTCCACAAACTTTATCATTTTTATACTTTTTGACCCCTTCCCCTACGTCTTTTCTTTCCTCTTTCACGAAACTTCCCTTTCCACTACTCAGTTCTATGAAATTTCGGCCCTAAGCCGCCATCCTGATTGAGGTTTTTCTGGGTTTACTTCATCGCTTAAGGCGTATCCGGGATGCGTCCCTAGGTTTGCTCCCAGACGTAAATGTTACAGCTGTCCCTCCCCTCTTAAATGTTACTTACTCTTAAATGTATGTAAAATTCAGTGGTTAGGCCGGAATCAACAAAGAGGCAGGGCCCTATGGCCTGAGCACTCCCATTAATAAAGACATTATCATCATCATTATTATTATTTATTTATTTATTATTATTATATTATTATTATTTATTATTATTATTATTGTTATTGTTGTTGTTGTTGTGGTTTATTATTATTATTATTATTTATTAAAGCTTGGTTTTTGTTCCAGCATGAAGCCTTCCCCAGCTTCTTGCTCCTTTCAAAGTTTTCTTCAAAAATATGGTTAAGCAAGGAAACATGGTAAATTGATAGATGGATAATCAAGGTTTTAATTATAATGTATTTATGGATGATCTATGAATTAAAATAAGTATTGTTGTAGACTATCATTTATACACCCAAAGAAAAAATAACTTGTCTAATTTTGACTGAGAATGTATATCTGAAGACATACCGGTCACAGTACATTCAACACCATGTTCTTAAAAACATTTTACAATTCTAACTATAAATAGTTCTAAAATTATTGTTCAAACAGTAGTTTTCAAATACAACAAAATTAAAAACATGTGCTGATATATTTTATTTCAAATTGGTGAAAAGCATTTCTGCTGACCTAGATTTTAAAAATATAAACTGTCACATTTATCCTTATACTGCATCACACCTGGTTGCTGTTATTTTCATTTTTAATGAAAATATTTAGTTATATTAGTAGACATGTGCACATACCTGCATCAATATTAAATGTCTATTATGTTCTTTTTGTTTAGTTTGAAGCCTTGGCATCGAAGGCCTTTAGCCTTTTTTACTGCATTGATCGGTTAAAATTAATCACAAATTAAATCTAAAAATAATAGAAAAGATTGGCCTCTTCAAGAACGTATTGTTTTGTCAGTTGCTGTTGCTTGTTGGTGCGAAATCTATCTTCCATGTTGCCGTCTCATGGCCGATCTGTGTCTAAGTCTTGAGAGATCTAGTGCAGTCTGTCGAGAATATGGTTCACTGGTCAGAAGTTTTCCACAGCTGCAGATGTGTTCTTCATTTCTTACAATGTATTGAAGAAGTGCATTCTTGCATGGCCTTTTTCTTAGCCGGCTTATACACACTTGTTCTCGCCGACGGGTAGCTTGAACGCATTTGGTGACCATTTACTGATATTCTGTTTAATGGGGTGTAGTTTCGTGTGAAAGACTTTTCCACGTGATCTTGCCATTCTGTGAGGAGCATTCGAGATAGCATTTCTTGCATCTTTAAGTCCGTATTTTCTATATCCAGTTTCTTCTTGATGGATGTTCCCGGCAATTCGTTGCCTGCAGAATCGGCTCTTCATATGCCCTAGGATAAACCCGCGATCGAGTCCACGAGGCACTAAGAAATAGAAACGTACTTGATTGACTACACTACGGCTCTATAATTAATAATGGCATGACTGATCGAGAGATATCATTATGTGAGCAGTGGCGTCCTACAGTTTAAGGCATCTGTCATAATATTGCAAAGTTGCAGGAGAGACTTAAGCGAGTCTGTGCAGGATGACGAACCTTCCTGAATCGAGTTTCACCAGCTCGTCGCAAAAGACGTGCAATTTACTGCAAATAAATTCCAGGCAGTGTACAAAAACGTCGACTTCAGTGGACGAACGCCCAAACGCCTCGACAAGTCTCAGTTACAACATGCAGCTTCCAACCCGATGTTTTGTTTTTGAACCATCTGTGTTAGATTAGTGATGTGACTTGCCATGATACTTCTTACGAGAAACGATCGAAATTCTGACTTTTTAAAATATTGGGAAAGCATTCTTTTTCTTTACACTGAGTAGTATCGAAGTTCTACTTCTGGCATTTCAAAGCATCCAAACTGAATTTCAGATGCGTTTATGTTTCAAAACTGGTGTAGATTGATGGTTGTAGCATTTGGCTTATCTCGATTGCGGCGGATGTGGCTGACGAAGTAGTCTGAACGGTCTGTTGATCGTAAATATTTACTAGCTTAGCGTCGAGTCATCCAATGAGTGGTTTAAATGTTTCGGTAGAGACAGCAATTTTGATCTATAGTTGAGTAGCATTGTTTGTTGTCTGTGATGTAGGGACATGGTGCTGGTTTCACAGTAGAGGCTTGAGGTTTATTATTATTATTATTATTATTAGAAACATCTGAATTATGCATATTTTATTGCCCCCTGCAACATCTCCATGAAAATTGAGATGTCAATGGAATGTGCATGCTTTGAGGTTTTACCTTGACGTTTAATATTTGGAATTATTTGGTTGAATTTTGAGTTTTAGCAATTGCTGGATAATCATAACAAAACTATAACAACAACCCCGTGCAGAACCGGGGATTTTAGTAGAAAGCCCTGTCGTAGAAGGCGAATAATCGGAGCAGCTGTCCGCTGTCACTTCCCTAAACATCCGTCATTCCCACAAACTTGGTGTGTCATTGCTTCCACTTACTTGTGGCACACTTGTGTTTTCTGCCCTGTCGGCCAATTTTTGTATCGGACAACTCTTGTGTTTCCGCCTCGCTATTAGGTTGCGAGGGCTAGGGAATCGTTTCCATTCTACCCTTCTATTCTAACTATTCTTCTTTGTCCTCCCTTGTTCTTCCCGTTTCCTTAAGCTGGCAGTAGCTCAAAAACGGTAGGGGAAAGTGACCCTGAAGAAAAAACCCAAGATGGGGGATCTGTCAGGATCAACCGTTTCGGTACAGGGGGTCGGAGCCTCAGTAGCGGTGCTCAAGTAGGCCACCGGGCGTCGTCATCCAATGACTGCAAAGCCAAGGGTGCAGATCACTCGGCACCCTGGCAGATATTGATACGTGTAATAGCTTACTTCTGCGGGAGTTTGCGACCTTAGGGTTCAGGGATCCCTTAAAAAGCCTCGCCCAGAAAAAGCCCTGAGTTCAGTGCAAAAATAATGAAAATTGGAAGGAGCATAAACTATGATGACTTGTTCAAGAACACTGCAGTGGTAGTAAAGAACATTACAGTTAAAAGAACAGAAGGACATTGATAAAGTAAGCCCATTTCTAATAGAGAAAAGTATTAGCATCTGTCCTGGGTCTGCAGTAGGAGAGATAAATAAATCTCCATCTGGATTCTTGATAGAAACACTCAATGACAAGGCAAAAAGTTACCAGAATTGAGCAAAATAGGTACTATAGATGTTGTAAGTGCTCATGGCACGCTGAATACCTGAAAAGGTGTTGTAGTTTGCAACTTACTAAACTGAAGAAAAAGAAATAGTTCAAGAACTAGCTTCTCAAGGAGTCATTGCCTGTCAAAGGCTAAAAAGCGGGGCGGGATGGCGAGATAATTCCTTCAGCGTCCCATGTCCTGACGTTCAATCTTTGTACGTTACCAGAGAAGATTCAAGCCGGTATTCATCATCTGACCGTACGAATGTTCATTCCTCAACCGATGTAGTACTTTCAATACTTACGTTTTGGACACACAGCATCTAGATGTGCAAGAATCAAAGTATGTCATTGTGGAAAGCCATTTCATATTGATGATCCATGCATAGATCCTATCAAACGCATTAATTGCAGCAGACACCATTCATCAAGGTCAAGGAACTGCTCAATCTATAAGCAGGAGACAGCAATACAACAAGTAAAAGCCAGACTAAAGATCAGTTATCCTGAAGCAAAAAAACTTGTGTGTTCTGAAAATACATGAAACATTACATACGTAGAAGCAGTTTTAAAAGGCACAAATTTGCCTCCATTAGTAATGAAAGAACTAATACCTGCAATATCTCGCTGCATAGAAAAGTATTTTAATGAAGTACACAAAAAAAAATCAACATAGAAGATTTAACTACAGACACTCAAAGTGAAATAGTAAGTGAAAAGTAGTCTTCAACACCCCAACCAAATGAGGCAGATAGAAATCCAGTGACTGCTTCTGCTCCCACATCCAGAAAAAAGTATCGGCCTAAGGCTATCGAAGTCGACCGCCTCGTCCCCCAAAATACGCCAAGGAGGACTTCCTCAAACAAAAAACGAAATCATCCATCATCAATGATCAAGACACGATCACCGGATCAGAGACAAGTTCGATGGTAAGCGCGGAGAATAATGATTACCGGTCCATCGATCGAAGCAAAATCCCGCGCAAGAAGAAAAAGAAGAAAGGATGACCAAGAGGAAAACCAAGAATATAAGCAGCCCCCCCCCCGTTCTTTAGCAACAGAACCTCTCCGCAACCATGGAAAATATTATTCAATGGAACATCTTTCAAAAAATGGTCAACACCCGGCTAACATGGTGACTCGAAAGAAACAACCTCCTGAACGTACATAAGTGCGGATACAGACAACACACTTCACAATCGACCAGTTAATATATCTGGAAAATACAATTCAGAATACCTGCATCAAAAGAAAACGTATGGTTATAGTATTCTTGTCATCAGTGTTGACATAAAAAACCCTTCTGATAAGACCTGACGATATAACATTTCAAAACAGCTATATAACTGGCAAATAATAAGAAATCTACCAAAATTTATATCCAGCTTCCTTAGTACCAGATCCTTCCAAGTTCGCGATGGACAGTCAATCTCAGAAAGCTACGTACTAGAGAATGATGTACCGCAAGGCTCTCCAGCGAGTGTAACGCTCTTTATCATAGCGTGATGCTTGACGGCATAGAAGCATCAATTGGCAAATGTATATATGTAGATGACATTGCTATATTTTATTCGGCCAAATCGCCGGCAAGGATCAAATTCAAAATGCCATCAATGAATTAGTACTGAAGGCGAAAAACATTCGTTTCTCACTTACAGCAGCCAAAACAAAATGCGTTCACTTCTGTAGGAAACGAAAAAGATACAGAGATCCAGATCTGGCGTTAAATGTGTTCAACTGACGTACAATGAAATGGCAAAATTCATTTGTTTGATTTTTAATAGACATTTAACCTGAAAACAGCGTCTAGTAGAATATACCTTGTCTAGATGTAGAACAGCTCTGAACGTAATTAGATACATTTCCCATATAAATTGGAGAGCAGATAGACAGGTTACTCCGCCTATACAAATCCATGGTGATCCATGATCTAAAATTGATTCTGAATGTGCAGTGTACTCCTCAGCCAGAAAGTCAAGCTTAAGGAAATTAAATCTCGTTCACAATGCAGGCCTCCGTTATACATCTGGAAGCCTTCCGCACTAGTCCTTCCTTAAGTTCCTATTGTGAAAGCAGTACCATGTCACTACATCACAGACAACAAACACTACTACTCAACTACAGATCAAAAATGTCACAATCGAAAAATTTAAACTGTTCAATGATGACTCGATCTAATTTCGCAAAGTTTACATCGAAGACCTTCAGCTACTCGTCCAGCCAACACCCACGCAATCGAGATACCCAAATGCTATAACATTATTCTTCCACCAGTTTTGAAACATAAACCATATGAAATTCCAGTTTGGATGTTGAAAATGCCAGAAGTCAATCTCGACACTGCCAGTGTAAAGAAAAAGAATGCCTAACCATAGATTTAAAAGTCAGATTTCGATCAGTTCTCGGAGAATACATGCCAAGCCACACAATAATCTACAGATGGTTCAAAAACAAAACATCGAGATGAAAGCGCAATTGTAAGTGAAGACATATCCAAAACTTGGACACTTTCACCAGAAGCACGTGTGTACACTGCCGAATTGTATGCAGTATTGCAATCTTTGCGACAGTGTGAAACTCTCGTAATTCAAGAAAATTCGTCATCTGCGCAGAATCGCTAAGTATTCTCACTGTAATAGACAGTACACCAAACTGTAGACCCACTACTACAAATGATTCTTATATCATGCCATAATTTAGAGCAGCGATGAGCATAAGTTTCGTTCATCTGGTGCCCTAGACACGTGGGTTTCCCAGGCAATCAAGCCGATTCTGCAGCAAGAAATGCCGTAAACAAACAATCAGAAATGGATATTGAAGTACGACTTCAAGATCCAAGAAATGCTGCTTCGAAGTGCATCCTCACAGCATGGCAGACCACGTGGTACAACCTTCACACGAAACTACACCCGATTAAACAGAGCATCAGTAAATGGTCACCAAATGTCAGCTACCGTCGACGAGAACAAGTGTGCATAAGCAGACTAAAAATAGGCCATGCAAGAATAACTTCTTTATACATGCTAAGAAATGAACAACAACCTATCTGCGGCTGCGGAAGACGTCTGACAGGGATCCATATTCTGACAGATTGTGTAGATCTATCAAGCCTTAAGAGTCTGATGCGGCATGTGGCAACATGAAGCCCACGGAACCGACAAGACAACTAACAAAACAATAATAATAATGATGTGAAAGAGGAATTAATAATAATAATAATAATAATAATAATAATAATAATAATAATAATAATAATAATAATAATAAAACAACGCCAATAACGATAAGTTTTCATAAATTATATTTTTATTAACATAAAATATGGAAAACAAAAAATGAAAACAGTACAATTGCTGTAGCACTAAAGGAATAAAAGCTTGATGCACTTGAATAGGGACCAATTTTGGCAGCATAAGCAATTACGTGTGCAACGTATGTCTGTTCATGTACTGAATGAAATAAATGTGCCATTGGGCCTGAAACAAATGAAAATATACAAACTTGCAGTGAATTTGTAGTTTAACATAATTACAATACAGGGAAGTCAGATTATCCAAACTAATGGGGACTGGGTATAGTTCAGATATTCGATAATTTAGACCACACATATAACCAACAGATAACTAAACATAAAAATGGCAAGTGTACATAAAATGCGGTATGTATAATGTTTCTTTAAAAGAACGTACCATTTAAATACTGCACTACAAAGCATTTTATCTGCTAATACTATACTTTATGAGTTCTTAAGCATTTATTGTAGGATTTGTCAAAGTTCATTGAAGTCATATGATTGATTATAGTACAGAATCTCATTAATATTTTATCACTTTCAATCATATCAGAGATCATTCTCAATATGAAAAAAGAAAATGAATACATATAGTATAGGAGATCTAATAAAATTATTCAGAGAAAAAGTGAGTTAGAATATTTGATGTTTTGAATGATTGAAGTTTGGATAATCGATGTCCCTCTGTATTAGGAAACAATGATATACCTTTTGCGTAAACAGCAACATCACTCCCACCATGTAAAACTTCATCAGTCAAAATGCCAGTATGTTGATGATAATCAAAACTGGAAAAAGCTTCTTTTGTAGGGTCATCTCGAACTATTGCCCCTTCCTCTGTTACACTAAATTTAAAAGAATCATTGTCTCCTGTGGCGTAAGAAAGAGTAGTGTATGGAGTATGGTCCATTTTAGAAGTGCCTGCCAAACCTGTTAACATAAAAAAGTAATGTAAAGTTTTGAGCAAAGCATCTGCCCCATGTTATTGGCCCCTCTCGTCCTGAATGCTCTATTCAACCTGACTATAGCTGACCTGCCCACATCTCCATCCTGCTCATTCAGCCCCCTTTCTACCTGCTCTATCTGTTCCTCCCCCTCGCCGTTTTATTTCAACAAATAACAAAAAATACATTGCAGATGGATATATTTTCTCAAATATATTTTAAAAACATTTTTAAGTAAAAGTATTTTGTGATCAAATAATACAATTTAAGTGAGCTTAAAACACTAAATAATTTTATGCTTAGTTACTGATTAACGAAATAACTTGTTAAATAGATGAAATAATAAATATGAATTTCAATAGAACCTATTTAATAGTTAGCATCATTTGATTTTTTTCATAGTCCTACCTTATAAGTAATGGCTATAATTAAGTATTTAAGGTAAAAAATAAATGAACATTTTATGAAATATCAGGCTACTGTATCACAACTTGTAAAGTTATGATAACGATTTTCACAAGTTCTAATTTCTTTTTTGATTTTTTACCAATTTTTCCCCATCATTCCCATCATCGGATCCCATGACTTGCGGGGCCCCAGGTGATCACCCAGTACATGCCCATGGTCTAGTGCTGGCACTTCTCACCATGTTCCACCTGCTCTTTCTGCTCTTTTTACTTCACTGACGCCTGTCACTCAACCTGCTTTTCATTTCTTCTCATTCTTCTGCTCTGCTCGCGCCTTGCTCTACTTCCTCTCCTCTCACTGTGCTCGCCCCTGCCACACCCTCTTGGCTCCGTCCCCTCGCACTCGGCAACAATGTTGCCCAGATGCATTGGCAATCCATTTAAGACATAAAATTTTGTAAAGCATACACACATACACATATATGGGTGGTGTTTTGAATTATAACCAAACTAATAGAGCTATCACTCCAGAGGCTATAATGTGTAATATTATAATATAAAGTGTTTGTGGCACATATAAACATACACATGCTCACTTTTATGTAAGGGATTAATTTAAATTTATGAACAGTGCGGATCCAAGGAGGGCCAAAAGAGCTGTGCCTCCCCATAGCAAAATTTAACTCAATTACATTTATTCAAAATAATTAACATTTAGAACTCATTATGGCTAAAATGGTATTTTCAATCTGTATATTACACTCATAAGCTTTTTAATTTCATGCTAATAACTAAACAAATTATAATGCCCCCATACTTTCTGGATCTGCCTACTATTGTTAGCTGTGCATGTATGATATGGTGATCATTGGGTAAACTTGATATCTTTTTGTACTTCCCATTCATTATATTTATAGAGGTAATAAAGAAGAAGAAAAAGAAGGGGGATTTACATTTTCAGAGGGATTAAATAACATTAGCCCCTGCCACAAAGTACTTGAAGTTTTTGTAGATATTTTGGTAAGATTTCTTTTCTTTTTTCTTTTTCTTTCTTTCTTTTTCCCTTGTACTTTATAGTTCCAATGTCTGAATAAGTAATTGTATATTAAAAAGGCTCATTTTTATTTTTGTGAAGGAAGAAAACTTCAAATATTCTGTGACAGATGTTAATATTGTTTAATCATTCTCAATATTTGCATTCCTCGTATATTTTTCTTTTTAAGTAATAAATGAGAATATTGGAAGAAATTGCAACCTTGGCAAAATAATAACCACCATGTTATGTACTATTATTCCACACTTCTGTAATTCATGAAAAATATATTTTGCTAAATAATTTTTTTTAAAGGTACTTTACCTAAAATGTCAGCTCCTCTTTTTGGATAGCCAGTCATTGATAATCCATGGGAATGATCACTAGTGACAATAATTAATGTGTCAGAGTCCTGTGTTGTTAAGTTCAATGCTGCAGCTATTGCATCATCCATTGCTACCGTTTCATACAAAGCATGTTTTGCCACACCTCGGTGATGGGCAAAATCTATCAGACCTCCTTCCACCTAAACATAAGTTTTTAAGTATAAAATAATGTGCAAAATTGGGAAATATTTTAAGAATTTTAAAACTTTTAATTCATTGAGTGATTTATAAAGTTATAAATTAAAGTTCTTTAATTAAGTTATCATGCTAAATAGTTGAATGACAAATAACTTGCAGACTTGATAGTGCTTCTTAGGAAAAAAAATTTTTTTCTTTTTTTCAATTGCTGTCTTTATCACTCATCTACATCAGTAATGCAATTGATACATAATATTTTAATAATTTTGAATTATATGTTTTAGAAGCATAGCCTTCTTTTCAGCTTGTCTACTCAGTGTAAGATAATGTTAAAAAAGAAATTTTCTCAAGTAATTTATTTCCCAAAAACAATGTATCAGAGTGAATTATTGTACTGACATTTAAAACAGATGTATGAAACTACAAATCATATTAGTTCATGTCATTGTTTAAAATGTACATGTTCAATAGCAATAAGTTACAATAAACAGTTATCACTATTGCTGAAAATGATTTCTGATTTATTTACTAACATTACTTTTCCCTCCGTTCATAATACTGCGGCCCCTGGAAAAGTTTCCATTCTCAGATTGTTTGTAAATGTCTGATTTGAGTATCAAGATATACAAACACATCTTAAAAAACTTCAAACTAATTTTATACTAACTACTAAAAGAAAACCCCTGGGATTCTTCTTCAATAACTGGATAGCAACTGATGTCATATTCTTCAAGGTGGGCATTCCAGTAGGCCTTCTATCAATATGTTCATTTTCATAACCCAGATGACCATTTGCAAAAATCCCTAAAATAAATAATAAAGAACAGTTTATATCCTTCACAATTGTACCGTGGAATCTCCATTATTTAGGGTTTGATTATTCTGCACTTTAATTATATGGACTTGAGAGGTTTCCAATACTAGGTGGAACAGTTTAAAACAGTTAATAAAGTGCTATTTAAAACGAAGTGGTGTGGGAAAGAGCTAGGGTTCAAACAACCATAACCAGAAGGCTAGAAAATAAAGCTCTTCAATGGTATGGACATGTCCAGGGGATGCGAAATGAGAGATGGTCTAAAACAAATTTTAAATTGGATACCTGAAAGAAGATGTAGAAGAGGTAGACCTGGTTTAATCTGGAAGAAATATATACATGCAGTTATGGAGGAGAAAGGATTGGAAGAGGGTCAATGGGAGGACCGAGAATTATGGAAATCGAAAACGGCAAACTCAAAGGGGTAGAAACCGTCGAAGAAGAAGAAGATAAAGCGCTATTTTAAGAAGTACTTTTTAAAAAATTTATAAAATTTTAATATATTTTTATTTTGAAGGAAATTGCAATGCTTTCAAAACTTGTTAACAATTTTAACAAATTGAGTTAAAAAAGTCTACAGCAAGCTTTGAAATTCTAGATATTTTTAGTTAAAAAATGTTTACTTTCTCTCCTTACTCTGTAAGAAGCTGTAATCGTGCGCCGGAAAACGGCAAATTTTCGACAGAAATCAATTAGTCGGGCCCTGGTTACGAAAAAGTGGATAAATCTTATTTCTATATATTATTTCTTTTCACACGTGTAGGCAAAATTAATGTTTTAGTAGTCCTTCATTCCGAAAAATTGATACGTGTATAACGTATAACTTGTCCGTCCATCTGCCCGTCTGTTGTCGAAGCTAGCTCCAAAACCGGCCAGCCGATTTTCTCCAAAATTGATATTTCCTGATTTAAAGGAATTCATGGCCGTCTGAGTTTCAAACGGATATCTTGAATTTAGGGTGTACTTTTACAAATGTCAAAATTTAATATACAAATGGAACAATTAAAAAAAAAAGCTAAGTCGTCATGAAAAGAAACCTCCAAAAAATTAAATTATCAGTTTGAAGCTCAGAAAACCTCGGTTTACTTTAAATTGGTCGTGGAATAATAATGTTCAAGAAAAGTTTGCGCAACTGTTTAGGTAATAGCGTTGACTACAAACAGACGGACACATGTTTTGCCGTCAATTTTTCAGTATGAAGGATTAACAAAACACGGTTTCTGACAGCACAACAGTGGCGCAGCGCCTATGGAAGCGAGTGATGCGTCGCATCGCTTCGTTATTCGGTTGGTTTTATGATTTCTAATCTTTACTGTATTTGTTTCTCATTTTCTCAATGCAAAAATATTGTCCTTTCTTTTGGCGCTTCAGACCACTGTATCGGTTACAGTACCAGGTTTTATAACAATGTAGTTTCACATAAGAGGGTTGCATCCGTTCCGTTGTATTCTGCTATAACGCTAATGACCTTCGAGAAGGTTGCACCTAATATCTTGTAAATGCTTTTTCCCACTTCTTGTCGCAGCTGAATATTCTGTAATCGTTTTTCTATTTATTACCTTAAAAGACTTTTGGCAACAAAAAATTGAATCTCTTCTCGTTTTAGTACGAAGAAAAAAACTGAAAACCCAACACAACTCTTCAAAAAAATCACAAGTGTGTATCAAATTAGCCCCACCTGATAGGGCTAATACGATACATTAATGGGGCTAAAGTGATACAGCTTAATAACTCTATGGATTTGGTTGCGGAACAACGAGCGAGCTACAGTGAGACGCCTTAGGGGCAAGTGTCTCAACAGTGTTGTTTTTTTTCATATTTTTTTTATCTTTTGCAGTGCCCAAATACTGTAACATTTTGGGTTTCTGTTACAGGTCATTAATAATAGAATATTTTCATTATTTCGTATTTTTTGTTAATTTTAGATAGCAATAAGCACCAAAGTAATACAATGGAGTCTGAACACCAGGTTTCAATAAGTACTGAAGGCAACCAGTATTTTATTGCCAAATTATTTTCTACTTTTTATCGTATCCCCTACCCAATTTACAGGAATCGCCAATGTAACACCGTGTTAGAGGAAGTCGTTTCTCTATGTACATACAGGGGACTACGTAAAGGAACAATATTTACTCACTTTTCCGCGACCAGGGGTCAGCAGTTTCTGTTCAAACTTTGCCGTTTTCCGACGCACGATTACAATAGTTTATCTTCTAACGAATAAGGGCCAGAAAGTAAAAAACGAGAAGTTTTTCCGTAATTTCTGCTTGAAGTTAATGCAAATTATAAAATAACATTTTTTCAAAAATTCAATTTCTTTCTTTATTTCTTTTTTCACCTCTAGAACAAGAGATTGACATAGGTTTCATTTTCATTGAATTATCTGAATTTTAGATTATTGCAAAGGTATACATATTGCAAGAATGTGCTGTTGTAGAACCACTAGATTTGTTTGCATGACAACATGAAGAGCTGCAGAAGACGTGAATTCAATATTCATCAAAACAGATGGCACTTCCATCTTTCAGTTAAACAAATTAATTCATTTTTAATGGACATTGGGGTAGTTATGACAATAAAAGTTGGTTTCATTAACTTTCTAGACGGCCTTTACATTAACACAATTGAACCAATAAAAATATTTTGATTACTCAGGGTTTTCAATTTTCTGTGGACACCCATCCCTGACATTACCCCACATATTAGAGGTTCTTCTTTAGTTAGATATTGAAAACATGTGAACACGGTAATTTTGCAAACATATTTTTCTTAGAACTGTGGGTTGTGGGATAAAGGGAGGATGTACATTGTCCAACCTTTCCCTAAGCTACGTGGTGGCCAATGGCTACATCCTTTGAGGGAACCCAGCCCATGGGACAGTGGTGTACATTGTGAACTTAGGTTATAAAATCAAGTAATTTTTTTTATAGAAAATGTTTGAACATCCTAAATATTTAGATAACTGAATGGCCGACAGTATGTTTGACACTTTCTTTTGTTTTGCATTGCACCTGACTTCATACTGTAACATTTTCTAGTTTATAGTGTTTGAAATAATCCTATAAGGTAGAATATTCTGAAAATAATTTGTGAAGGGAAGTTCAATAGTGCAGAAACTTTCCAAAAGTTCTAAATTACTGAAGTTCTTCCCACTCTCAATTATTCATTTTAAAAGTTAACCATTTTTTTCTTGTAAGAACTGTGTCCATACATGCTAAATTTATGCGTACCTGTTTTTTCACTCATGGTCTCCTTAAAGGAGATTCCTGAGCCACTTGTGTTGATAAGAAATAGATATGCAAATTAGTTTACCTAATACAAAGTCAGTTTTCGCCACATCCACATTCCATAAGTCCTCATTAGTTTTAAGATAAGCAGACGAGAAGTTTCTGTTTTGTTTATCTTGCTGCCAAGTTTTGATTAAATTTCGACCATCTTTACTTTGGCACGCCCAAATGTCTAATGGATCTGTGGCATCTCCAGTAGCATTTGATACAAGACACTGTCTTCCACCTCCCATTATTACCTGAAAAAAAACCAACAACAACAAATTGTACCTAAAATTAACATTGTATCAAAAAAGTAGGTAAAAAACGTTTGTTGTAAATATCAGTGAAAATAGTAATATTGACAACTGAAGGATAATCTAATAATTTACTACTGCAAGAAACTGTGCTAGTGTACTAAGGCTATTATTGGAAATTAAGTAATTTACAACTGTTGTTAGGAAATAAACAATTTTGTTATCATGAAACTGGCCTTGCTTGATACTTAAAACTCTAAGCAATATAATATTATTCCTCCAATTCAAGACTAAAGATGTTACGAGTCGGTTGAGTACTCCGGGTTGCAACCAGCTTCCTAAAGAGCAGATGTAGGGTCTATCGGTGCCTCTTCAATACTTTGCGTAAATTGTGGGCTGTTTCAAATAAAGCAATTTCTTGCACTTTTGAGTATTTTGAATTCCCTAGGAGTTCAGCCAAGTTCTTAAACAAATTTTGCAGAACAAATCCCAAAACTCCGATAACTATCGGGACGACCTGTGCTATGGACTCGAACCTACGACCTCCCGGTCAGAGGCATTGAAGTGACATCAGTTGATGCGCTGAGCCACCTCTCCCGATAAAAGTGGTAAAATTGGGAAAGAAAGATGAAATCACTTTCAGGGAGAGAGAATATGCAGTAGCAGAGGTTGCAAATCTAAAGAATGACGGTTCTTATGAATGCGATATTACAAAATTTAGTAACTTGACTAAGAAAGTTTCATCAGTACCTTAATGTTCTTTCCTGGTTCATTTTCAATGAGCTGTCTCGCAATATCTTTACACCCTTGGGCACTTGAGGGAAGTTTAGCTTCGCATTCCCAGTTCCGATCAGGAGAATGAGCATAGAGGGCACTAGGAGTGGCATGCGTCACTCGCGTTGTTGTGACAAAACCTGGAACACATTTCAAGTTAAGTTAATGCACTAAACAATGAGTAAATTCTGATTAAAGTTCAGCAAAATACAGTGGAGTTTGTAAGAGAAGAATTTTAAAAATCTAGTAATTTTTACTTCCTCCTATACAACTTAGTAGTAGAAAGTATTGTAATGCTGCAGCAAAAAGCTGTAATAAATTTCAGAACTCTGTAAGGATCGAGTGAAATATATTGTGGCTATTGGTCTGTGGACCAAAAGCCCTAGATGCCGACGCATCACCCATGCCCAACCACGTCCCCGTGACGCAAGCGCACCGCTGTGGTCAGTGCGAAAGAGCGCAGCCTCGAATCTGCTGCCCGCAGCTCAGACACCGGACTTGCAATTATGGCGAGCGCGAGTCGGAAGGGGTTGTGACGAGGTACCACCTCTCCAGGAGAGGCCGGCCTGCTGACCGCTTCTTTTTGAGAAAGTCGTCGACCGGGCTAGTTGTTCAGTCGTCGTCCGCTGCTATTACTGGAAAGGGTCACACGCACGGCATATGCAAATTTTAAAACTAGACAAAGATTGAGGGAAATAAACTGTAATCTAGAGCTGGAACTGTAATAAATGGTTTGTGTGATCAGAGTTGCCTTGTAAACTGTTTAAAACGTTTCATTCCCTAATGGTTCATTGAGAAAACCAGTCAAATATACATATTGTAAATATTAGAATACGGTTATTGCAGGGAATTGTTGGTTAATATGTTATATGCTTTAATGTTTAGTATCATTGTGTACAATTTTCTTGATGTGTAAATTTGATTTGATTTGTTTTAAAGTGGAGGATATTTATTCTTCATATTTTTGCAAACGTTTTCTGGCTTAATTATCTGGTAGAGACCGTGCACGGTGCTAGAGGTATCACAATTTTGTTTACTTAGGGAACTTCTGTGTCACTGAGTGTTGTATTTTGCTTATTCTAATCCTGTAATTTGTTTATTATTGTGTATTTTGGGAGTTTTTTAGTGTTACATTTTTCTTGTTTTCAGTGCTTTGGTAATGTATGTTGAATTATTTCAAGAATATACGCACTGATTTTACCTAACTTCTGTGTCTTGGGTATTCTTTAGGTGACCTTAAGATCCCTCTTAGATGCCAGAGTGGTGCCTAGTAATTAGGTGGGAGGTATATTATATGTACATATATACCCCACCTACTATATATATATATTATATAGTATAATTATATACTATATATTATATATAGAGAGGAGAGAGACAGAGATCGAGATGAGAGAGAGAATGTAAGTGAGCGGGTAACTTCACACTAGTGACCGACGCTCCATTAGAAATTATTTGCGACATTACGGTTTTTTCACCCAGAAGGTTTACATGCTGTTAATTTTTGTGTATATTCACTAGATTGCGCTGAAAAAACAAACAAACAAAATATTCATGTCAAATGCAACCCGCAACACTCTGGAGCTTTTTTTATCAATATCGTTAAATAACTCCTAAACTAAGCGTTGTAGGCTATTAGAAACTAAACGTTTGAGGCCAAAGGCCTAAAAAACGATTCTCTACAGAATGTGATCTTGAACATTCTATTACATTTTTGCTGGTTTGATGCTTCTCGATATCTCCCCTCCTGATCAGAGACGTGCAGAACCTGCAACTAAATGTGAAGGAGAGGAACACAGGGAGGCAGAGAGAGAGACACTGCACTGAATAACGTGACAAAAAGCACTTTGATGTATTCTGTTGTTTTTAAAAAGTACAGAAAAGTATTTATTGTGGAATATCTCTCACGTGTTAATATTTATATTAAGGACGTTATTTATACATTATTGCATTTGTGAGTATAAATGCTTGAAATGATTTTCGAATAAATTTTTCGAAAACTCAAATTTCTGTGAAAACGAACTCAAATTGACCAATGTTAAGAAACGCTCAAGCGAGAGTTACTGAGAAATGTCTCAATTTTTTCAACGTCAATTTGCATGCTTGGCAGGTTTTATTCGTCTATGATATTCGTAAAAACTAATGTCAGTTCGGTCATTAGGGAATCGAAAAATTGTGAACATGTGAAAAAATGACCTTTAATCGGCAATAGACCGCAACTCGGAACAGGGTTGGCGCAAAACTGGAAAGCTAGTCTAAACTAAAGATATTACAAAACTAACAGTACCAGAAAACCTATGCCATTAAAAATTGAAGATGGAGATTTGTTCCATGAAATAAAATTTATTATACATATTTAGTTATTTCATTAATGTCATGTACATTGTTTTGAAAATTTTTGTATGGTTTTGAGTGTACTATAAAATTAGTACATGCAGTATTAAACTAGTGGTACTACAATACCACATTTTATCGCATTGTTTCTAAATTTGCAATTTTAGAAAATCCACTGAATTCAAAATGAGACCCGCGCCATTCTTTTAAGCGTATCTTCTTCTATCCGAAAACAGTCGAGCGGTTTTTGAGGAAATAATTTTTTTAGAAATTACATGAAAATCAAGCGCAAATTAGGCGAAAACTGTTTTCTTTTTTGTCTTCAAAAAAGTGCACAAGATGTTTTTTAAAGATAATTTTTTTCAACAGACAATGTCTCAGGCAAAAATCTCTATCTCTAATTTTGTAGTTTTGAAAACTTTTTGCAGTTTTCGCAAACACGGAGAGTTTGACAAAAATTATTAGAACAATATTTTTTTCCGCCCCTTGTTTCATGTCAGGAGAACATTTACAAAAACAGTTTTTTTAAGAAAAAAGTGAATAAAAAATTAAAATTGGCCTATATTTCGCACAAAATGACGAAAAGACACCCGAAAAAATTATATATATATATATATATATATATATATATATATATATATATATTTAAAATTGTGCCATTTTTGAGAAAATTATGAAAATGTCTTTAAGTTTTCGTGGAAAGTACTCTCAAAAATAAAAATATCCGGTTGAAACTCCCAAAGCCTTGAGTTCATTCAGTTTGACTGAGGAGTATGAATTTTGGAGAAAATCGGACGAATGATTGAGGCGCTAGCGTTGATCACAGACGGAGGGACGCGCAGACCTTTTGCCGTCAATCAATTTTTCGGTATCGATGACCGACAAAACATCGATTCTGGCGCCACCACCTGTTAGAGAAAGTAATTTACTGTATTTAGGAACAATATTTATCCACTTTTTCGTTACTAGGGCCCGGCAATAGAAGTTTTTGTGTCAAAAAAATCGTCGTTTTCCGGCGCACGGTTACAATGCTTTCTCTTCTTACGACGTAAGTGCGAGAAAGAAAAGCGAAAACGCGTGTTGCAGAGGCCGCTCGTTCGCGAACTCCCGAAATCGTTCGTCAAAAGGAAGCGTGCAATGCGGGCCGAGGAGGAACGAACTTTAATTGGATCAAAAGCCCTATTAACGAAGAGAGTTTCTGCACGGCGTGAAGCACGACTCAATATCATACGCTTTGAACGCACGCATAGGTATTACGGCATGCTACAATACGTTGCGTGTTTTGGTAAGTTCTGTCCAATTTGTATATTAAGATGTTATGGTCCAATTTGTAGAAGGCTCGAGTTAAATTGAGGCAGGCAGATTACTGGTTCTACAGACAAAACTTTTATGACAACTGATTTTTGCTGAGTAATGAGCAGTGTTTGCAAGGTTGCGAGTGGTGTGGTCGAGAAGCGAATTGGTTTGAGTTTATATTTTTGTTTTGTTTCAGAATTGTATTTATTCTAACGTTATTATTTGAGCTTGAGTTTACCTTGTACACTTATTAAGCTTATTCGTTTATTATTTCGGTATCGTAGTGCTTTTTATCCCGTTTAAGAGTAAATACATTTTTTTGCATTACTCCCCTTTTGAAAAATACTGATTTCATATGCTGCTAATCGTATAACATTGTCATTATCTCTACAGGAGCAAATTGAAGCTTGTTCACTGAAAATTGAATATAATGGAGCTTTGTTGGTATCTGCATATTGAATCAGTTTGTAACTTCTGCATTGGTTTAGGATAGTATGTCGATTTGAAGATTCACATCGAGTTGACTGTGCCGACGTATTTTCTTCGGAATTTGCCCTTTGGTGAGCGAAATTCTCAGCCGGGCACTTGAAGAGTTTAATGCCAGCGTCTCGTAGCCTCGCAAGTATTTAAATACTTGAGTGCATGCCCACAGTTGCCAACGTCCCCGACACGTGTACACATCGTCAAATCGGTTTTTGTCTGTCGTTGGATCAAATTTGCTTCTGCAGTTAGAACATGCGCGTGTCATTATAGCCCTGCAAATAGTTGATTAAAAATAAATAATCCTCGGGCCTACACATACAACCCTCATTGGGGGATACGGGGAGTGTAACGCGTTCCCCTTCCAAATCCAGCATATGTTTTTTTCTATTGTAGACCATTTATTGGAAACAATTATCATGTATTGGTCACATCACATACCAGTAAGTCCGAGAGGAAGACCTTTCAAGGAGAAATTCACGTTCAGAAGACTCATAGCTGAACAATTCCTTGTGCTAAATTCCATTTGAATGTCAACCTCTCTATTGTACTGGTTATTATTATCATCTAAATAAATGGAAATTTGCACAGCACCTTTTTAGAGAAAATTAACTTTAATTACACCGGCACACAAAAAGTTGTGAGACCCAAATACGTAACACATGTTTATCTATGTATTTCAACGATCTGAATCCGAATTTGAAGTCTGAATTTGGTGATCACCCACCATTTTTTAAATCGCGGAAATCCACCGCGTCAAGTGTTTGGGTCTGACATTTTTTTGTGTACCTGTGTTTTTAATGATCATTCTCGCAAGTAATGAAACACGTAAATGGACATATGCGTGCATGTTGCACAAACATTTGTGAGCTATAGAGCTCCTAAATGTTTTAAAGTATATGTTTCAAAATCGCAGAACTTTGGAGCGGACCAGATTGACCGGGGAATATTCATTTTGGAAAAACATTTTACGAGCGCTAGTGTTCACAAACGGACGTTTTGAAAGAAAGAAGAAACAACACATTTTGGG